CAGACCACTATATAAAGTTAAGTGCACGCGGTGGGGGCCATATATACAAAAAGTAAGAAAATCAAAATAATATATAAATTGATAATATTGATACCTCACAAAAAAAAATTAAATTAAGTTAAATTATAACACGAAAGAGGCTACGGGTCCAAAAACACCTGGAGGCTACATTCATTATTCAGACCGACTGGTGCCAGAGATCCCAATTTAAATATCCATTCTTTCTCTTTGCGCAGCAGTATGGTATCAAAATCGCCTCTCCTGGTTGAGTTTAAAGCATATATTGCTTTAACTCGTAATCCATTAGGGGAAGACCGGTGCGCTTGGGCAAAATGTTCTGCTACTGGGGTACGGTCGTGATGATTGCATATACTATTGATATGCTCCCCTATTCATACTCGTAATGGGCGTTTGGTTTTCCTTATATACATTTTGTCACACGGACACTGTAAGATGTAAATAACCCTGAGAGTGGGAATGCACCCACCCAGAGTGGGAATGCACCTACAATGTAAATTTTAGGACCCCTCCATGATTTCTAAGTGGGAGAACTTGCAAAATCGCAGGGTGTTCAAATACTTCTGTTCCTCACTGTACCTGTATATTGTGGGAAAATGTAATGGCCCCATCATTAAATGTTCATACTCTTTAACGTTTTGTTAAGAGATGATGTTTTTTCCTTGTTTTTAAAGTAACCTTTTGTTTTGTTACCTACTGGAGCTCAGGCCCCTCGGGGCTATAAAGGACTTCACAAACATGATCCCTTTACTCTGAAGAAGCCCACGTGATTTGGTGGGCGAAACGTGTTACGTCACAACCGGGTGACATCCGCGACTGCGCAGTCCCGGCTCACCAGCTCTTCGGCCGGTTCACCTCCCTGTGCCCTCTGCATGGATACACAAGCATACTTACATGCGATTATCTGATCTCCAGACACTGCAATACAGCCTGGCTGCACCGCTGTACGCTCTTGTACCATCTAAGACGCTACAACATAGCCCAGCTGCACACTCAGCTACAGTTGATTTTGCAATAAACTTTGTTTGCATTTGTGTTATAATTTTCTTTGGGGTTATCCTTTAGCTAGAAACTCCACCATCAATAAATTATTATATATGGTTTAGGGCATCCCGTTTTTTTATCATTTTTGTTACTAGCGAGAAGAGCCCCCCCTTTTCCAAAGCGTATGGAGCTTGTCATCTGGTAAGGTGCATAAGATAAGAGGTGGCGGTCAGTGTGCACACTACCACTGGGAGTTTGTAACGAGGGGAGTACGAGCAGAGTGAAAGTAATTTTGTGATGAAAATATATATGCGATTACTCTTGGAGATATATTTCCTATGCAAAGGCGGATGGATTTAAGAACCTAACCACAAAAGGAAGATTGTGTGGAAGCTGTTTTTGATTTACAAGAGGGTAAGAGTAAGGATGACGGATGATTAAAGGTGCACACACGGTGGAGTGGATTTTTGCACGCATTGGCACAATTTTTGTAAATGCGTTTTGCTATGTTGAATATCATCTGTTGCATATAATGCACTATATGCAATTTATATTTTTTTGAGGGCACTAAGAGGAGGAAGAGGATTCTTTGTGGAAGAAAAACATTCACTAAGAAAATACTATTACCACTGGTTATTTTATACACAGAGACGCTGAATAAAAGTTGGACTGGCCCTTTACCAGGAGCTCCCTGTGTGTGTGCCCCAGGGGACGCGGTCCTGGAGGATGTCTCCCAAAACTAGACGACCGTGCTGTAGCCGTTAGTCATTCAGTTATAGCCTGGTCGTCAAGTGGTTAAAAAAATTGAAACAGAGTTGCGCATGTCCTTTTGTGAAAACCTCTCCAATTAATAATTGGGCTGCCCACAAAGTCATTATTTGTGGTAAACTCATACAGGTGGAGGCACGTATCAAGAGAGGCCACAAAAGTACAAATAATCAACAGGTGTTACAAAATTTGATGACTGAACAGCGTACTAACCCTCAGGTAGATATTAGACACAAACTGATCTGCCTGGAATGGCATTGGTCTTACCACTCAAGCTGAAAAACAGATCCGCTGGTCACAACGCAAATACTATACAATGGGAGATAAGCCAACCACATTATTGGCACGAAAATTGGTGAGCCGGGTATATGTGCCTGCTCTAACTAAGCTGAGATTGCAAAACGGGCACCTTACCCAGAATCCTGAACTGATCCTGCAGGAATTTCATAACTTTTATTCCTCACTATACGCTAAACTTTAAACTATTTCTGCAGGACAGGGTGGATCTATTTTTTCAATATATTTCCTTACCCCAACTGAAACAAGCTTATTTGGAGCTTATAGATAAAGAAATTTCAGAGCCAGAAATTAAACTTGCCATCAAGAACTTACATCCCTCTAAAGCACCTGGCCCCAAGGCTTTTCAGGTCATTATTACCGTAAATATCAAGACATCTTGCTTCCCCTTCTGTGCTTTTTTTTAATGCTATCTAGCAGGGTACACACCTCCCGCCTCAAGAAAACACGGCGTATTTACACACACCATACCACAGAAAGACCAAGGGGACCGTTCCAACTATCGCCCCATTTCCTTGATAAACAGCGACTTAAAAATACTGTCCAAGGTGCTTGCATCTAGACTGAATTCTTTTCTTGCTCAATATATCCATCCTGACCAAGCAGGATTTGTTCCTAACCGCCAGGCATCAGACCAAACCAGGAGGATCATAGATGTAATCTCGGCAATACATTTGGATCGGGATGGACAGGGGACTCGTAAGGGTCCATAAGACATTTGATGTCCATAAGACATTTGATTCCCTGCCTTGGGATTATCTTTTTAATACCCTCACCCGATATGGTTTTACGCACACTGTCTGTCCACACTGCAGGTTTTACATAGCTCACTCACTAATGGTAAAATGATATGTTTCCAACTATTCACAGAGAAACTCGTCAGGGCTATCCTCTATCTCCGTTACTATTTTTACGGGCCTTAGAACCACTTGCTAGCAAAGTTTGCAATTGCATAGATATAAAGGGGATAAACTGTGGAGACAGAAAGAATAAATGTGCTCTTTTCACAGACTACCTTTTGATGCTGATTTCGTCATCTATTACTACTCTCCCTAAATTCTCTGCCATCCTCCACCTTTTTTCCCCAAGATGTCAGGTCTCACAATAAACCATGACAAGTCGCAGGCTCAGAATATATCCTTGCAAGAAAGCACAGTTGAAGCTTTCTCACATTTCATTGGCAGACTGAGGCCTTCCCATATCTAGGAAATATCTTAGCGCCCACCTTGCACTCCTTATAAGCTCGAATTTACCCTGCAAAACATCTCACAGCAGATACGGCAAAATGGCAACTTCATCCCTCGCCATGGTTTCACAGACTGCATTCACTGAAGATGAATATCCTCCCATGGTTCTTCTATATATTTCACACTTTAGTGGCACTTGTTCAGTCTGATCTGCTTGCTTTTCAAAAGAAATTACTATTGTTTGTCTGAGGAGAAAAGCTGCCTATGGTGAAAAAGTATACACTATTCACTCTGAAACAAAGGAGGACTGGGGGTCTCAGATTTTCTCACATATTTTTATGTTGCCCAGCTAATCTAATTTGTTTTGTGCGAATAATAGGCCTCCAATCCTGTGTCCTTCCCTCTCACTTGCACTGGATGTTTGGAATAGACTTTCCAAACCTTACAACTTTAAGTCTCCCATAGTCTACTAGCTCCCATACTTCACAACAATGGTCACCCCAGGCCTCACCCCCAGTGCATTTGAATGGTGGTCTAACAAAGGTCTTCTACGAATAACTGATCTCTGATCACAGATGAATCCTGTTGAAGAAAACACTAATAGAGAAACATAGCATGCCAGAGGCTGATTATTATAGATATGCCCAGATAATACATTTCCTGAAAGCTCTGTCATTGTATCTATGTCATCTATGGAACACATCACAAAATTGATGAGATCCGTGGCCATATTTCAGAAATGACTTTTAAGGTAGGAAGACATCACATGAACCAGGACAGTATTCATCCAGACCAGTAAGCAAACGGAAAGCACTCTCCTCCGATATCCCAACCGCTCATAAGCTCATAAATGAGGAAATAAACACAATCCTCATAGTATATTACCGCTTTATTAGCAGATAGGCAGTATATATCCAAAGAAAGGAGATAATCCACTTACATGGCAACAGCTTGTATCACAATATGCTGGGTGTACAGCAAGATCACAAAGGTGCACCAAGATGGCGTCACGCCGGAAGTACGTCACCACGCCAATGCCGTCGACGCGTTGCGTCACGTGACTCGTGACTTCATCAGGACAGCGTGATTGGCCAGCAGTACTTCCTTATAAAGGCCTGAGACCGCACCCATCCAAACTACAATGGGCGGTGCGATCGCGGCCATATTCTAATGGTCCAATTTACAAACAGCCTGTGCAGCCATATTACTGTGGTCCAGTGTGGGCAGACCTTCTCCCATTAGGTCTGACGATCCAAATAGGATGACACAGCTTGGATAGAAAGCACCACACGACCAATACCTCTCACTAGTGGACACATAAACCATAAGAAAACTAATATTTAAAAATTAGATGTGGAAAAAAAACCACATACTTTAATAATAAAATTAAAATGAGCATGTCCATAGAATATATATATATATAACATGCCCTATATAAATGAATATCATACAAAAAAGTATGAAATAAAATAATATAAAACAAATAAAAATATAAAAAATATATATATAGGAGTAAGGACGCTCCTTTGTAATCATGCATGAACTCTTTACTTCAAATACCATAACACACATAAAATTGACATAGAGAATTTATCGATCACTGATAAAGCAATTTAGATCGAACTCGATATTGAGTCCCATTGGGGCAAATGTATCCATAAGGAAAATGTATTTAGATTCTGTCTGACTTAACGATCTCACTTTATGGGACCCTCTCCAATATTTCTTATATTTTTCAACTCCCCAGAATTTAAGACCAGAAGGGTCTTGATTATGGTACAGCCGAAAATGATTGGATAAACAATGTTTCGGGAAACCCTTTTTAATATTCTGGACATGTTCTCTCAGCCGGACCCATAAGGGTCTTTTGGTCCTTCCCACATATTGCAAACCACATCCACATTGGAGAACATAAACCACCCCCTCCGTCCTACAAGAGATAAAATCCCTGATCTGAAAGGACCTACCATTGCTAGTGGCTGTAAAGGAGCTCAATCTAGTGTTCGAACCCCTTGTAGCTCTACACGCATAACAGATCTTACACGGGAAAAACCCTTTTTGATCAAGAAACGTAGTTTTGAGATTTTTAATGGGGGGGTTCAGTACACTACGTACCAATTTGGACCTAAGGGAAGGAGCCTTCCTATATATAAAACTTGGGTGTAACCGGTAGTAATTTTGAGAGAATGGGATCTGTTTTTTAAAATCGGCCAATAACGTCTAAAGACATTTTCTATCTGTTTGTAGTTACTGGTAAAGTCCAAAATAATTGCTGTATGGTCCCCTGAGTCTACTAATTTGGGTTTATCTATAAGGAGGTTACTCCTTGTCATAGTTCCCACTTCTACGATTTTATTATTAATTGTATCTCTAGAGTACCCTTTACTGCAAAATCTTTCTTCCATAATGTTAGCTTGCTCATAGTATTCCTTAACATCTGAGCAATTCCTTCTAAGTCTGACCAGCTGTCCTTTCGGGATATTTCTGCCAAGGAGGGAAATGGCAACTATCTAATGGAATATATCCATTCCGGTCTACTTTTTTGAAAAAAGTTTTGGTATGGAGATTATTATCCCTCACCGAGATGCACAAATCCAGATAATTAATAGAGGTACCACTTATTTCCCACGAGAGCTTAATACATTTATCATTATTATTTAACTGATTTAGAAAGGATAATAAATCAGATTCCAATCCATCCCAAATAATGATAACATCGTCAATAAATAATCTTTTATAAAGACGTAATTGTCTAGGGGGGTTCTGATACACTGCCTCCTCCTCCCAGTGGGCCATGAACAAGTTGGCCACACTGGGAGCAAACCTAGCCCCCATAGCTACTCCTTTCATTTGGTTGTTAAAACTGTTTTTTATACCAAAAGTAGTTATGGGAGAGACAGTACTCAAGACTTTCCAAAATGAATTTCCTCTGTGGCCATTGAAGGTCACTAAATACTCTAATACCCCCCCAGCCTACTGAGTCCACTGCATCTTTATGATCAATAATGGTATATAAAGCAGAGACATCTGCACTCGCAAGCAGAATACCATCTTTTATGTTGATACCATCTAACAGTTGTATAAGGTGTTTAGTGTCTCTCAAATAGGCCTTAGTTTTATTAACCAGGGGTTGAAGGAAAAAAATCGATGTATTGACCCATCCTAGACATAACAGATAGTATCCCATTAACAATGGGTCGCCCTGGTGGATTCAAGGGGTCTTTATGCATCTTCGGTAGGGTATAGATAATTGGTAATCTGCATACATCCGGAACCAAATATAGGGCTTCTTTTTTATTTAGTATCTTGTTATCCTTTCCTTTCTTGACCAATGTGACAAGCTCTTTTCTATATTGACTGGTCGGATCTTTTGGTAAGGGGAGGTATGTACTGGGTGTCCTCTAATTGTGACTCCAGTTCTTTCTCGTAATACTCTTTGGAAAGTATCACTATACTCCCCCCCTTATCAGCAGGTCTGATAACTATATTGTCCCTTTTGGACAACCTCTTCTGTCCAATATATAATGCTTTGTTTTGCCTTACTTTCCCAGGTTTAAGTTTTTTCATGTCACTAGTGACCATTTTTTTGAAAACCTCTAACTGGTTATTATTAGTTATTTGAGGATTGAATAAAGATTTATTCCTTAATCCCGTATGGGCAAAAACATCACTACTCGCATTAGATATCACATTCTTGGCTCCTGGCAGACTATGGAAGTATTTCTTGATATTAAGTTTTCTAACATATTTGAGAGTATCTATATATACATTAAATCCATTCGCAGCTATGGGGGGAGCGTATTTGAGGCCTTATATATTTTATTTATTTATATATATTCATTTATATCAATTCTGTTTAGATATTAGAATCTTTAGCGCTGCATCAACTTTTATATTTTATGTATATTGCCTTTGCTTGGTATGGGATAGATGCTGGCTGCTTTTTAGTTTGTTCTACGGTTTACCATAAGAGCGCAGGAGGATATATATCTATGTGATTTGTTTATTCTTCTTACCAGTTCACTTCCTGCTGCAAATTATGGATATATTTGGTTTTATTGATAGTAGACCCATTATATTGAAGAGGTTTTTTCCAAACCTCCTAATGATCCTAATAGTGACCTAGATACCCAATTTAGGAGACTGGATCACCTTATGGAGAAAAAAGTCACCACTTGGTGGGATATGATTACACATGAGAGATACCTTAAGGATAAATTAGTCCCTAGGCGTCTTAGATGGGATGTCCCCATCAGTGATGGGTTATTAGACACAGAAGATAAAGATGAGTGGTTTAATTTTTTCCAAGAAAGAGGGTTGGAACTGGTCAAATTCCTCCTTAAGAGGAAACAAAAGAAAATGAAAACATCTGGAAACTTTGATTTCTGATATTAAGTGCAAACTAGACCCCCTCAAGGATAATCCAGAGGTTATCAATCTCACTAATAGATTATATAAAGACTTGGAGAAAGTAGACCAGGAGGTAAAATGCAGGAAAATTAAGAAGTATCATAGAGATCTGAATGATTTCCATAAAGATCAGGTCTTCAAGTGGCAAAATATCATTGCTGAGACTGAAGCAGCATCTATTAGTACCACACCAGTGAAGGAAATTAGATTCAATACCAATCCTGGACCATTGAAATCTCCCAATAATGGTCATAAACCTCCTTATAATTATTCTTCTAATCGCCCTATGAAACTATTCCCCTAAAAAAGGTTGGCAACCACGTAGTGGGGGACAGCCTAAGAAAAAGCCTTATAAAAAGGGGAAACAATGGAAAAATACCAATTACACACAAGGAAATTACTATCAGCAACCTTATCAGGATTATGCTAGACGTGATTATAATGTACCACAGAGATACAATCACTATCCAAAATGAAGCCCCATCCCGACCATATTACGGACCCTCACAAGGCAGAAGCCCTGTATCTTCACATGGCAGAAGCCCTGGTCCGTACTATGGTCAGAAGAATTATCACCACCCCTATACCAGCAGTCCTATATCTACACATAATAGATATGAACCTTTGAGAACACAACATATTGAGTCTCAACAGAATGAAGGTTTTTTTAGAGAGGGGCAGAGCCAATCTCAGCCCAGTCCGGAGAAGTTTCGACAGAGGAGGGGATGTAGAGGGGGTTGGAAGGCCAAAAAGAAAAAGAGAGTTGTAGGGGAAGGGGTGTTTAAATCTCAGCCCAGTCACACTCACCACTGAAGAACTGTTGGTGTTAGACAAAGGCCTCAAATACGCTCCCCCCCATAGCTGCGAATGGATTTAATGTATATATAGATACTCTCAAATATGTTAGAAAACTTAATATCAAGAAATACTTCCATAGTCTGCCAGGAGCCAAGAATGTGATATCTAATGCGAGTAGTGATGTTTTTGCCCATACGGATTAAGGAATAAATCTTTATTCAATCCTCAAATAACTAATAATAACCAGTTAGAGGTTTTCAAAAAAATGGTCACTAGTGACATGAAAAAACTTAAACCTGGGAAAGTAAGGCAAAACAAAAGCATTATATATTGGACAGAAGAGGTTGTCCAAAAGGGACAATATAGTTATCAGACCTGCTGATAGGGGGGGAGTATAGTGATACTTTCCAAAGAGTATTACGAGAAAGAACTGGAGTCACAATTAGAGGACACCAGTACATACCTCCCCTTACCAAAAGATCCGACCAGTCAATATAGAAAAGAGCTTGTCACATTGGTCAAGAAAGGAAAGGATAACAAGATACTAAATAAAAAAAGAAGCCCTATATTTGGTTCCGGATGTATGCAGATTACCAATTATCTATACCCTACCGAAGATGCATAAAAGACCCCTTGAATCCACCAGGGCGACCCATTGTTAATGGGATACAATCTGTTATGTCTAGGATGGGTCAATACATCGATTTTTTCCTTCAACCCCTGGTTAATAAAACTAAGGCCTATTTGAGAGACACTAAACACCTTATACAACTGTTAGATGGTATCAACATAAAAGATGGTATTCTGCTTGCGAGTGCAGATGTCTCTGCTTTATATACCATTATTGATCATAAAGATGCAGTGGACTCAGTAGGCTGGGGTATTAGAGTATTTAGTGACCTTCAATGGCCACAGAGGAAATTCATTTTGGAAAGTCTTGAGTACTGTCTCTCCCATAACTACTTTTGGTATAAAAAACAGTTTTACAACCAAATGAAAGGAGTAGCTATGGGGGCTAGGTTTGCTCCCAGTGTGGCCAACTTGTTCATGGCCCACTGGGAGGAGGAGGCAGTGTATCAGAACCCCCCCTAGACAATTACGTCTTTATAAAAGATTTATTGACGATGTTATCATTATTTGGGATGGATTGGAATCTGATTTATTATCCTTTCTAAATCAGTTAAATAATAATGATAAATGTATTAAGCTCTCGTGGGAAATAAGTGGTACCTCTATTAATTATCTGGATTTGTGCATCTCGGTGAGGGATAATAATCTCCATACCAAAACTTTTTTCAAAAAAGTAGACCGGAATGGGATATATTCCATTAGATAGTTGCCATTTCCCTCCTTGGCTGATGAATATCCCGAAAGGACAGCTGGTCAGACTTAGAAGGAATTGCTCAGATGTTAAGGAATACTATGAGCAAGCTAACATTATGGAAGAAAGATTTTGCAGTAAAGGGTACTCTAGAGATACAATTAATAATAAAATCGTAGAAGTGGAACTATGACAAGGAGTAACCTCCTTATAGATAAACCCAAATTAGTAGACTCAGGGGACCATACAGCAATTATTTTGGACTTTACCAGTAACTACAAACAGATAGAAAATGTCTTTAGACGTTATTGGCCGATTTTAAAAACAGATCCCATTCTCTCAAAATTACTATACCGGTTACACCCAAGTTTATATATAGGAAGGCTCCTTCCCTTAGGTCCAAATTGGTACGTAGTGTACTGAACCCCCCCATTAAAAATCTCAAAACTACGTTTCTTGATCAAAAAGGGTTTTTCCCGTGTAAGATCTGTTATGCGTGTAGAGCTACAAGGGGTTCGAACACTAGATTGAGCTCCTTTACAGCCACTAGCAATGGTAGGTCCTTTCAGATCAGGGATTTTATCTCTTGTAGGACGGAGGGGGTGGTTTATGTTCTCCAATGTGGATGTGGTTTGCAATATGTGGGAAGGACCAAAAGACCCTTATGGGTCCGGCTGAGAGAACATGTCCAGAATATTAAAAAGGGTTTCCCGAAACATTGTTTATCCAATCATTTTCGGCTGTACCATAATCAAGACCCTTCTGGTCTTAAATTCTGGGGAGTTGAAAAATATAAGAAATATTGGAGAGGGTCCCATAAAGTGAGATCGTTAAGTCAGACAGAATCTAAATACATTTTCCTTATGGATACATTTGCCCCAATGGGACTCAATATCGAGTTCGATCTAAATTGCTTTATCAGTGATCGATAAATTCTCTATGTCAATTTTATGTGTGTTATGGTATTTGAAGTAAAGAGTTCATGCATGATTACAAAGGAGCGTCCTTACTCCTATATATATATTTTTTATATTTTTATTTGTTTTATATTATTTTATTTCATACTTTTTTGTATGATATTCATTTATATAGGGCATGTTATATATATATATATTCTATGGACATGCTCATTTTAATTTTATTATTAAAGTATGTGGTTTTTTTCCACATCTAATTTTTAATATTAGTTTTCTTATGGTTTATGTGTCCACTAGTGAGAGGTATTGGTCGTGTGGTGCTTTCTATCCAAGCTGTGTCATCCTATTTGGATCGTCAGACCTAATGGGAGAAGGTCTGCCCACACTGGACCACAGTAATATGGCTGCACAGGCTGTTTGTAAATTGGACCATTAGAATATGGCCGCGATCGCACCGCCCATTGTAGTTTGGATGGGTGCGGTCTCAGGCCTTTATAAGGAAGTACTGCTGGCCAATCACGCTGTCCTGATGAAGTCACGAGTCACGTGACGCAACGCGTCGACGGCATTGGCGTGGTGACGTACTTCCGGCGTGACGCCATCTTGGTGCACCTTTGTGATCTTGCTGTACACCCAGCATATTGTGATACAAGCTGTTGCCATGTAAGTGGATTATCTCCTTTCTTTGGATATATACTGCCTATCTGCTAATAAAGCGGTAATATACTATGAGGATTGTGTTTATTTCCTCATTTATGAGCTTATGAGCGGTTGGGATATCGGAGGAGAGTGCTTTCCGTTTGCTTACTGGTCTGGATGAATACTGTCCTGGTTCATGTGATGTCTTCCTACCTTAAAAGTCACTGAATTGGAGGATCTCGAGGTGATTTACAGAATGCTTTATGGCCCTGTAGGGTCATAGAGTGGAGGTGAGAGGCCACTGCAGCTAGACTGCCTGGGATCACGTTTGGAGTGTGCTGTGATTCACCTGCACTTCTTTTATATATACGAACTATGGACACACGTTATCCTGCACTTAAACCACTGTTATTTGTCCATTGAGGGTTATTGGTTCTAGTGTATTCCCCTGTGGATTTGGGTCATATATATTTATATATATTCATTTATATCAATTCTGTTTAGATATTAGAATCTTTAGCGCTGCATCAACTTTTATATTTTATGTATATTGCCTTTGCTTGGTATGGGATAGATGCTGGCTGCTTTTTAGTTTGTTCTACGGTTTACCATAAGAGCGCAGGAGGATATATATCTATGTGATTTGCATATTTCAGAAATGTATACTATTTTAACTAGTGCTTCAGTTAAGCTAGGCTATATGCAGAAGTGGGAAACAGATCTCCAGGAAACCTTGAGCTGGACGAATGGCATTCATTAGCCCAGGAGGCTTCAAGATAGCTATTAAATACTTCCATTATTGAAGGGAATTACAAAGTTATACTAAGGTGGTACATGGTAACAGCCAGATTGGCCACATACGTCCCGGGAGTGTCCCCTTTGTGTTTCAGAGGCTGTGGTTGGGAAGGTACAGCATACCACATATGATGGCAGTGTCGCAAAGTGAGGAGCTTTTGGATTAGAGTTCATAATTTTATTTATACCCTAACTCAGGTTAACCTGACCAAGTCTCCGACGCAAACATTACTTGGATGCAAGGAGGAGGAAGACTCAAAAAAAAAAAAAAAAAAAAAATCAAAAGACGGCTTATCACATTTATATTTGTTTCAGCAAAAATTACTACTACCAGGAATTCGAAGTCAGCTATTACACCTTTTGATCAGCTCAAGAATAAGCAATCTTAAATGAGAAGATGAAGGTCTATGAAAAGGTGTGGGACCAGTGGGTTAAATATCTACCGGGCGACCCCCGGAACTGTGCTTGATTGAGGAGCCATATGGAGGTAGCAGTCCAGAGCATGGAGTCCTTTACATAGTTAGCCTGGCTGAAAAAAGACAAAAGTCCATTAAAAAAAAAAAAAAGAATTTATAATTCTAAACCCACAGTTGATCCAGTGGAAGGCATAAAACCCAGCAAAGCATGATCCAATTTGCTCCTGCAGTGGGAAAAATTCCTTTCTGATCCCCCAAGAGGCAATAAGATATTCACTGGATCAACTTTACCTATAAATGTTAGTATTCAGTTATATTTTGTGTAAAAAAGAAAGAATCCAGGCCTTTTTTAAAGCAATCCACTGAGATGGCCAGAACCAACTCTTGAGGGAGTCTATTCTACATTTTCACAGCTTTTACTGTGAAGAAACCTTTCCGTGTTTGGAGATTAAATTTCTTTTCCTCCAGATGTAAAGAGTGCCCCCTTGTCCTCTGTGATGACCTCAGGGTGAATAACTGTACACCGAGTTCACGATATGAACCACTGATGTATTTATACATGTTGATCATATCCCCCCTTAATCTCCTCTTTTCAAGAGAATAAATTCAGTTCCTCTAATCTTTCCTCATAGCCGAGCTCCTCCATGCCTCGTATCAGTTTGGTTGCCAATTCTCTGTACTTTCTCCAGTTCCCCAATGTTCTTTTTGTGAATTGCTGCCCAAAATTGAACTGCATATTCCAGATGAGGTGTTACTAATGATTTGTACAGGGGTAAAATGATCTCTCTCTCGCTGGAGTCTATACCCCTTTTAATACAAGAGAGGATTTTGCTCACTTTAGAACCCGCAGCTTGGCATTGCATGCCATTATTAAGCTTGTGATCTACCAGAACCTTCTCCACCATTGATTCCCCCAGTTGTACTCCCCCTAATATGTATGATGCATGCATATTCTTAGCCCTCAAGTGCATAACCTTACAATTATCAACATTAAACCTCATTTGTCACATAGTTGCCTAATTAAACAGTGCATTGAGGTCAACTTGTAAGTTGGAGACATCCTGTAAGGACGCTATTCCACTGCACAGCTTGGTGTCATCTGAAAAGTCTGAAAATGGTATTTATAATCCCAGACCCTATATAGTTTATAAAATATATTAGAAAGTAAGGGTCCCAACACTGAACCTTGGGGCACACCACTGACAACCCTAGACCAATCATCTATGTGGTCTTTTATTAAACTCTCCAATATCTTCCCAACTATAGAAGTTAAACGAACAGGTCTATAATTACTTGGTAAAGATTTTGACCCCTTTTTAAATATTGGCACCACATTGGCCTTACGCCAATCCAGTGTACTATGCCAGTCATTAAAAAAATGAGAAACAATGGCTTTGAAATGACATGAGCTCAGTTCTTTAAGGACCCGTGGGTGTATGCCATCCGGTCCAGGTGCTTTATTCACCTTTATTCTATCTAAATATTTTTGGATCATATCAATTGTGAGCCAATGTGGATCATCTGGAACTGTGTCAACACCATGCCCATTATGGACAAGAGGTCCCCATGATCCTTTGTATACACAGAGCTAAAGAAGGTATTTAATAAATTTGCCTTCTCTTTGTCCCCAGTCACCCACTCTAGATTATTTTTGTAAAGGGCCTACATGC